GAGCGGCTGCGCTGCGGCGGGCCTGCGCCGTGGAGCCTTGTGGCGGGCGGAGGCCGGGGAGGGAGCGGAGCGGGGACGCGGCGCGGCTCGCCTTGAGCCGCCGCAATGGCGAGCGGGAGAGGCGGAGACCGGCGGCGGCGGCGGCGGCGGGAGGAGGCCGGGGGGGAGAGGGAGAGAGCGGGAGGGGAGGAGGAGGAGGAGGACGACGACGACGACGACGTATGGCGTCATAACCCGGCGCCGCCGCCATCATGAGGAGGGCGAGGGCCGCACCGGGAGGTGAAGGCGGCGGCGAGGGGGAGCGGGCGGCCGGCGGCGCCATGCTGGGGAGGTCGCGGTGCCTCTGCCCCGCGGAGCTGGGTGTGAGGGTTGGAAGGCATCGGGACGGTCAGAGACAGTAGGAAGGAGGAGCCACAGCAGGCGGTTAGGAGGGACCCGTCCCTGGCTGGTGCTTGGAAGATGTTGGAACTGTTGGACGTTGATAAGAACAGATAGACCTTTTGCCTGATACCGTAAATGTAACCGCAAGGCAGACACAGATGTGCTTGGAAGCATATAAATACCGTGTAATCCTTGTAATAAACGATCAGCTTGTACCCTAGCCCTGGAGCCGTGCCTCCATGCTCACAGCCGGGGGGCTGTGGGGGGAGTGAGGGCGTGCGGGCTCCATCTTGAGGCGGTTGCGGCCTTTTCTCCCCCCTCAGCGCAGAAGTGGGTTCGGGCGGGAGAGCGCTGAGGGGCGGCGGAGCCCGGCGTGGGCTGTGGTCCCAAGCGCGGTTTTATGTGGAACAAAACCCGTGTAAACCATCCCGCTGTGCGGCGTGGCTGCGGTTTACCTACCCGCACACCGCCCTGGTGGGTCTGGGGTAGGAGAAACGGTATTGCTGAGCTGATGTGGGGTTAAAGAGGTATTAAAAGAAGAAGACATCGGGAGGTGGCGGCTGTGCGAGAGGCCATCTGTTTGGAGCTGTGAAGAGTGGGGCCGCCGGCGGGAAGCAGCTGGGGCTCCTGTGCTGCTGGAGCTCCTCAAACGCAGCTTGGGCTCATGCCAAGGGGAAGGGTGTCCCTGCGGCTCCTCGCTAAACACGGATAAAGCTGTCTTCAAGCAACTGACGGCCCGTTTTCTGCCCTGGCCACAGGCAGGCTCCACAGAGCTGGTCGTTTCCATGGCTGCCCTCTGGGTGTCAATGAACCAAACTCATCTTTAGCCCCACTAATTACTCTTCCTGGTGTATAGAAGCTAAAGGTTTCTTGTATCATCGCATCAGGGCTTAGAGACAGCTGTTGGGGTCACAGCCTTGTACAGGGAGAAGGTGTTCAGAGAATCCCAGAGTGGTTTGGGTTGGAAGGGTCCTTAAAGCTCATCCAGTTCCAACTCCCTGCCATGGGCAGGGACATCTTCCACTAGAGCAGCTTGCTCCAAGTCCCTGTGTCCAGCCTGGCCTTGAACACTGCCAGGGATGGGGCAGCCACAGCTTCTCTGGGCACCCTGTGCCAGTGCCTCAGCACCCTCACAGGGAAGAACTTTTCCCTAACATGAACTTCCCCTGTTTCAGTTTGAACCCATCACCCCTTGTCCTGTCACTAAAGTCCCTAATGAAGAGTCCCTCCCCTTAAAGGCAGCCGCTGTCCCCAGGCAGCCTGGGGGATTCAGTAGGAACCTGAAATGTAAAGAAGGATTTTGCATGCAGAGGGAAATGATAAAAAATGGGTATAAATCTGTGTTTTGTAGGAGGGAGCCTTAAGATGGGACTTGACGTCTGATGCGCTGAAGCTGTCAAATTGAAGCTGTTTTCCCCACACCCAGTGGATGACATGGAAAATAGAATGAGGACAGGTACTAGGAGAAGAGACAATAGAAGCTGGTTAAGAGCAGCCTGGAAAGCAAAATGTTTTCAGTAATATTCCTTCATTAAGGATCTTAAATGTTTATTATGCATTTTCTGCTAAAGATTTTGTGGATCAGAAATTCACTGCACTTTCATATTGATCATAGTTTTATTTTGGTTGCTGTAAAATGCATGTAATTTGTTTCATTTCAGGACCATCTGTGCCTAGTAAAAACCTCTTCCATGAGTATGTCAGTGTACTGAAAATGCTAAGTTGTCGTTGCACTAACATCCACTGCTGGGGTTTTACAAGTTCCCTTGAAGCAGGCAGTTCCAGGCCCTGTAGAAGGGAATGTGTCCTACATGGACAGCTCAGGGCACTCTACAGATTTACTCATAGGCAAATACAGAGAATGTAGAAGTAACTCCATGTGATGGCCATCAATTTTTTCCATCTACAAATAGAATAAAGCAATAGTAGATAAATTCTTAGGGCAGGAAGTGATGACCCTACGATACCCATGTGAAGGTGCAAGACTATGGAAAGCGTGGTGTGGAACACACACACTAACTGGTGTGCCGCATCTGCAGAACCATCTGAGGCTTTGGCATGTGTATCGGTTCAGCTCGGGATCGACTGCCCATCTACAGTCACACTCCAGTTGTTGCTTCAGCAGTGCCCCTGGATTTTGGGGAGGGGGAATCTTTGCTACCACATGCACGTTTTGGATAAAATAACACCTCTGCTGCTTGTGTGAATGGTATCTTAGCCCATAGGCTCAATTACTCTGAGTTTTGGGTGCTCTGGATTTCTGCCACTGGCCTCCCGTAGGTATGAAATGTGGATCCAGGCTAGATGATGACTTACACCAGATGAATGTAACTCTTGCTGCAGAGCCAGGAAGGTGTTTTGGCTGGGCTGGTGCTCCTTGAAGATGGGGGAGGGAGTGCCAATGCAGGCAGACGTGGAGGCAGCTGATGTGGACTGTAACAGCAATGGAATTCCCTTGTGGTAATCAGTAGGTTTGAAGCAGGGCCACGAGCACTGAGACCTGGGACTGTGCCACACAACAGCCCTGGTGTAACCAACCCACAGTGACCCAGAAGCAATGCAGGCGGAAGGTCACTTCCTGGTACATCACAGGAAGATAAAAGAGCCACCAAGATCATTTCATAATGGTGGGATATGATAATACTGGAAGAGCCTTGGAACACTCTGGATTCTCCCCCAGAGCCTCCTCAGCTCTTTAGTTGGAGGTTTTAAGAACAGGTTAGACAGAATACCACTCAGGAATGCTGCAGGTAGAGTTGCTCCTGCCTCGGGGAGAAGGATGTATGACATGATGTCTCGGGGTCCCATCCAGGTGGGTATTTCCAAGGCCACATGTTGCTAAGGGGTTTGGAATGGGCAGATCAAATCACGGGCTTGTCAAAGTGCACATTTATGAGTCAGTGGCTGTTGAGGGGGCTGAGACTGGCACAGTGTTCTTTTTCCACCCCTCTCAAAGTGCTCTTAGTTACGTGAAGAGAAGAGCACACACGGGACCAAAGCCTCTCTCTAGGGAACAGCATGGACATTTGGGATGTACCAGAAAGGTCCTGAGAGGCAGCATTTTTCAGTATGAACAAACTAACTTTCTCTCTTTAAAAACCAGCATCAGCACTTGTCTCCCAGGTCCTCATGTTCATCCAGACTGTGCTGTACCCCATGATCCTATGTCAAAAGGTTTGGGAAAAGACTAATTTCAAGTACAAATGTACCTTTGGCCAGGAGAAGGGAAGGGAGCCTGGCTTGTACACCCATGGGAATGCCAGGGGCTAGTTAGCATATGTCATAATCAGCATTCAGGGAAAGACTGGGGAGGAACAATGTAGGAATGTGAGGAAAGGGAGCTCTGATGATGGAGCAGACACAGAAGGTTTTACCCATCCACATTCTGGGGCTGGAAAGAGAAAATGTGGCAGGGATAACGTGAGGACAATGCTGTCAAGTTACCTGCTGGATGTGTTGGCTCAGGTGCTGTTGAGGCCATGGGGCAGAGGTCAGAAGACTTGGTACAGGTGTATTAGCAGCTCACCTTGTCTTTGGTTGGTGACTTCTGGGACAGAACAAGAAAACAGATGAGTAACAAGGAAGGATTGCCTAGGAAATGATCCCCAGGAAAGCATAAAGGGAATGGGAGTGCCTGAGTCAATTAGCTGGTGCTGCTTGGTGACATGGGGGACTTATTACCAGCAGTGTAAGTGGCTTCCGAGCTTTGGCCAACAGCCTCAGACAGGTCTGGCCTGAAAGTGCCACCAGGTTTGGGCAACAGGATTCATGCACAAAGAAGAGCCCTGGCTCCAGTGAAGGCTTTTCTCCTGTGGAACTGGCTGCATTACAACCATGAAGTTTACAAGTGGGAAAAGCTGGTATTGACTTGTAGGGACCACAAACAGATTAAGTATTCCTAAGTGGATGTGGCACTTGATGGTGCGTTTAGCGCATCTCATGGAGCAAGTCAATCCAATACATTGCTCCTATCACCTCAGCCAATGTGGGCAGGAGGGAGAGTGTCCAAAAAGTTTCTCAGGGAAGCTTTAGGACTTCCTGAACAGACCAACTCCTGCTCATTTTATAACAAACATCACAACAAACAAGGGTCTGTTACCTCCCTGGGCTTAGACGGGAAGGCTGATCCCTGGCACACTGGAGCTGCATGTGTTCATGCAGCACATGTGTTCCTGGCAGCAATTCTCATGCCACAAAATGCCCTAGCTGACTCAGAGTTAAAACCTCTGCTGCCTGGTTTCACTTGGTGGCTGCCTGTGCTTGGAAGAGGTGCAGTCTCGGGCTCTTGGCATCTTATATCATCAGGAAAAAAAGTGGTCTTCCATACAGTTTTTATTCTCATCTTAAGCCCATAGAAAAGTGACTGATTCACTTTTCACAGGGAAGAACTTCTGCCTAAGAGCTCATCCCAATCTCCCCTCTGGCAGGTTAAAGTCATTCTCCTTGTCCTGTCCCTACTGGCCCTTGTGCAAAGGCCCTCTCCAGGTCTCTTGTAGGCCCCGGTTCAATAGTTAATGTCAAGATTCATTTTCTTGGTCAACAATAAACAATTTTAGGGCCCTGCTTCCTATTTTTGGAGTTCTGTTTTGGATACTCACCCAGACCAGCAGGGCTCTGAGACATCCTTAAGCCTCCCTTGGGAGCAGGGAGAGTTACAGCAGAAAGGGGATCCATGCCGTGGGCTCTGGAGACCTCAGTTCTCTCATCAGCAGAGAGAAGGGTTGCATGATGTGAAGATCTAGAAGATACCAAATACTGGGGCTAAGACCCTTGTTTTGGCATTTGATTATACAACAAAATGGGGTCTGAACGTGCAGCAACAGAAGTGACATATGACGTGTCTTGGAGACAGCAGCTTCACTTGTGGTTTCTGTCTGCAGCAACCAGTAACCAAAGTAGTGTGGGTTTTGGGCTTGCCCCACGGCAGCCAACTTCTCTGCTTCTCACAACTAGTGATTGTTTCTATTCTGCCAGTACCCAGAGCATTTAAAAGTAAGAGGCAGCAGTGCTGGATGAGTGCCATTCTCTCATCTCTGTGTAAAAGCAGTAATAGTAACAACTACTGAGAGGGAGTAGCACATAAGAGCCCACTTCGGCTATTATGTATAGCTTTTCAGTGCCCATTGCAATGTTCCCTGCAAAAGCACCAAACTGCAGTAGATTTTACAGCAAAAATAGATAATGGGAGACAAAGATGAGACTGTAAAAGATGAAGAAATGAGCTGGGAACTTGTTGGCAGGGAGGCTTTCTTCTCACATTTTGTCTGCAGCTTATTTTCAAGCACACTGGTGAAGACTTAATGAGTTCTTAGGACAGGGGCAGCCTGACTCAAGTATCTCATTTCCATAGGATCCTAGACTGATTTGGGTTGGAAAGGACCTTAAGATCAACTAGTTCCAATCCCCTGCCATGGACAGGGACACTTCACATTAGACCATGTCACCTAAGGCTCTGTTCAGCCTGGCCTTGATGCTTAGGCTTGTCCTGTACCAGCACTGTGCTGCTGCTGAAGCCTGATGGAGTCCTCACTTGTGGGACGGAGCTGGAGGGAGTGGCTGTGGCCAGCACTGCTCTGGTGAGCCTGGGTGTCCAGCCCCAGTGTTTACACTTCCTCAGATCAGCTCCTGTCTTCCTAATGCAGTGCATTAGGAAGAACGTGCTGCTGCAACGCCCTCTGCCCAGGGCTGCAAATCCCCCCATTGCAAGTCCTTGTTCATGCCCAATCTGCTTTTCTTAGGGATATAAACTCCCCAAGCAGTCACTGAAGACTGACTACACCGAGTTGGATATTTATGTTTGCTTTTCTTCATTACTCAACGAGTTTTGGCTAAAGAGGCTGTTTTCCCCTGGCTGGTCTGGCTGCCTGCACACAATTACACTTGGCTATTATTAGCAAGAGTGAGCAGGGCTGAGTTTACAACTGTGCAGGAGCGATAAGCTCGAGACGACGGCGCTTCCTCTCCAAGGAACTGTGTAACTGCTCCTCCGCGTCTGGAGCCGCCGCCATGCTCAAGGCAGGAGGTATTTTTGTTCTCTCTACAAGGATGCCGAGGCCGGGTGGTTTCCTTTAACAGATTAGACAGAGAGAATATCCCCACAATTCTACCTTCAGCATCCAAGGCACTGAAGTCACAGAAGTCTCATACCCATTTTTATGGGCTTCAGCCCAAATTCCTTAGGACCCCAAGCCATGGCCATGCTGGTTTCCCTGAACTAATCACATTTCTGTACCCACACTAAATCTGAATTTGCTTTTTCAGTATGAACCTATAGAGAGTGGGATAGAGCTCACTCAGTGTTTCTGTACCTGAACCAACACACCCAGAGGTGCTTTAAGCCTCTGCATACATTTAATCTGAGGGATCGCATCCTGCACTGCTCTCACTATGCGAATCTAAAGGACTAGTCCACGCATTGATGCAGGCTTTAGATTTAGGACAGTTTAATCCCATAAGTCTCAGTTTTATGACTCTCATGTAGCAACATGTGAGAAGAAAACCTGCACATTGGAGGTGTGAATTGTCTCCTTGTGCTGATGAGGCAGCAGCATTGGTGAAGCACAGAGGAAAGCAACAAGAATAACAGGTTTAAAAACTATAGCATAGGAATGAAAGGCTGGAATAGTGCATTTCTTACCCTAAAGAGCTGAAAGGAAGAAGTTTTAGGAGAAAGGAGACAGAACTTTCTCTTCATGAAAGGTCATTGTAAAGACAGCAATGAACTGTGGGTTATGGCTGCTGGGGAGCTCAGGCTCTGCCACTGTAGGTGTGGGAACAGTTCTAGAGCTACCTGAGAGCTGAATGATCCTGGGACATGACAAGAGAAGCTCACCAGAGACACCCCCAAAAGTCCCTGGACTGAAATCCCACAAACTATTAAAGCTCCTTTGATCTCCTCTTCCAGGTAAGCCTGCAGTGCCAGGTTGTGAATGGTTTAAGACCTGTCAAAGCATTGCAGCAGACCCTAACTGTGGTTCTAGTCAAGAAAAGCAAAGTACCAGCTGCAGTGTAAGAGCCTGGAATGTTTCCTATTCTGCTATCTTGCTTTCTGGTGATGCCAACAGAAGTTATGCAAGCCACATGCATAAAGACAATGGGAAAGGAGGAGGCATCGATAGAAGCATTTCTAAGAACACAGACCTACTCCTTGGACAGTTCCCAAAGGGTGAGCTATAATTATCAGGTACTCCTAGAATATTGTATCTATTTTTTCAGGTGCCAGGCTTCCTGGATAAAGTATCCCAGGACCCAACACAACAGGTGACAGAAGGACTCCTGCTTTCAAGGACACCATTTGAAAGGAGTTGGACACCATAGCAAGCTCAGTGGTTATTACTGGAGTGAGACAAAGAGCCTCATGCTTAGAAAGCTCTGATATACCCCAGCACAAGATGGGGGGGATATCACTAGTGGAAGCTTCAGCTTTAAATAATAAGTAGAGCATTACTTACCTTGAAGAGCTGAAGTATAAGGTGAGGTTACAAAACAGATCACTCGAGGAGACACTACTACCAGTAGTAATAGAAGACACAGTGATTTCATAAGGGTTGGTTGGCATTTTCTTCAAGCACTGGATTGTTGCCAGTAGCAGATTGCAAGTCATGTCAGAAGCTGTAAAACAACCACAGTTCTCCTTAGGAAGCTCTCCTATGGAGCAACTGATGTTGCAAGAGATTTCACTTTCCCCTGAAAGGTCAGATTAAGAAAACTAGGCACATGACATCATTCACCTGCATCCCTTGTGATCCAGCCTTCACTTCTGCTGTCTTGGGGGCTTGATAAAACCTATTTACATCCCAATCAAACCCTGCAGGCATGAAATAGGAATTATCAACAGTTCTCCGATGTAAAAAAATCCATCTTATACATGCAAAGCATCTCCCCTTGTTCTTCCACAACCATATCTAGTGAAGGATGCGTTAAATCTAGGATGGGAAACTCCCAGCATCATCAAAAGCCAATGTCACAGAATACAAATTCCCTGCATATATAAGCACATCATGGTTTCAAGAAGGTTGGTCAGCCTATCTTGAACTGCCATGAAAAGAAACCCACAGAAGTTATCACAGATAGTAACATTTTGTGTAAACAAGAAGGGAGCCAGATCATTCCTGCTATGGAATGGGCAATCCAAGTAGTTCTTACTGTGTATCCAACATGCCAAGTGCTGCATCATAGAATCATAGAATAGTTAGGGTTGGAAAGGACCTTAAGATCACCCAGTTCCAACCCCCCTGCCATGGGTAGGGACACCGCACACTAAACCATGTCACCCAAGGCTGTGGCCAACCTGGCCTTGAACACTGCCAGGGATGGAGCATTCACAACTTCCCTGGGCAACCCATTCCAGTGCCTCACCACCCTTACAGTAAAGAACTTCTTCCTTAGATCCAATCTAAACTTCCCCTGTTTAAGTTTGAACCCATCACCCCTCGTCCGATCACTATAGTCCCTCCCCATCATCCTTATAGGCCCCCTTCAGATATGTACTGTGGTTGTGCATCCATCCGATCAGATGAGGGTTTGGGGTAGATCTATTCTGCAGACCTTTTTTTCAGACCAAGAAAGATCAAATAAGCCATCGATAGAATCATGGAATGGTTTGGGTTGGAAGGGACCTTAAAGCTCACCCAGCTCCAACCCCTGCCACAGGCAGGGACACCTTCCACTGGAGCAGCTTGCCCCAAGCCCCTGTGTCCAACCTGGCCTTGAACACTGCCAGAGATGGGGCAGCCACAGCCATGAGTAGATGAGAGAGGAGTTAACTTACTGAAAACTTTATTTACTTCTTCTGACACTGTGTAGTGCCAACATCTAATAAGGCCTTTTGGATGGAAGTTTCTCTTTAAGAACTCACCATAGGAACCTCCTCTTCATTATGGAGATACCATTTATGAGCAGAATTCCCCTCTGAAGTCAGGAAATGACAGCCAGAGCGTTTCTTAAAATGAGAAGTGAGACAAAAGGATCCATGTCACTTCTCAAGCCTCTCTTATTTATCATTAAGAACCACAATGTGTTTGTTAATGTGAAAATAAACAACAGGAGATGCCAGGCAGTACAGAAATGCTGACTGAATGAAAGAGTAAAAGAAGGGAAACTGCTCACATACAGCTTGAAATACCAAATGTGGTGAATAATACCTTTTTAAACTTTATATGGATATAGGCATCACTCACATAAAAGTCCTGTGACTTTGCCCATCACTGCAGCTCACCCACAAACATGCACATCAACATCCAGAGTATATTTAACACACAGCTTAGGTGTACAGCTTCCTACAGGAAACGTTAACCTCATCTGCCCAGAGCAACAGGTTGTGCACGACTGCTTGGTACCAGCAACACGAAGGGAGCCCTAATACTAGAGAAATCATTGAATCCCAGACTGGTTTGGGTTGGAAGGGACCTTAAAGCTCATCCAGCTCCAACCCCTGCCACAGGCAGGGGCACCTTCCACTAGAGCAGCTTGCTCCAAGCCCCTGTGTCCAACCTGGCCTTGAACACTGCCAGGGATGGGGCAGCCACAGCTTCTCTGGGCACCCTGTGCCAGCGCCTCAGCACCCTCGCAGTGAAGAGCTTCTGCCTAAGATCTAACCTGAACATCCCCTGTTTCAGTTTGAACCCATCACCCTATCGCTACAGTCCCTGACAAAGAGAAATAAGTTGCCCAGAAGGAAGTTACTTCCCCAAACACTTGCTCTGCTGCAGTTGCTGTTAAAGTGGGTTCATTTTCAACTTCTCCTGCAAAACTGCCCCTGGGACCCACACTGACAGTGATGGTGGGAGCTGCCCCATGATGCTGAGCAGTTCCTACCTCAGTGCTCAGAAACAGTCCCTTAAAGCTCTGTGTGGTAAATAATCATACAAAAATGAAATGTTCTTTGGTAAATTTACTCTTAAACATTTAGCTGAAGGTGGTTGCAAGAGATCTCTTCCTTTAGAACACTGATAAAGGAAATAGCTGCAAGTGTATGCTGTGACCAGAGACTTCCTGGTGGGTGATGGGGAAGCAAGAACAGGAGTAAATGCCAAGGACGACACGTTGATATACAACATTGACAAACTGGTACAGCAAACCACATCTCTGGTTCAGCAGAACATGTCAACTGCAGACTAGTTAGGAAGGAAATGGGATACCCATCATGACTTCTTTGACAGGTAGATGAAGACACACCGAAGCTGGAGCACCTCCCTCGTGAAGACAGGCTGAGAACACTGGGGCTGTTCAGCGTGGAGAAGAGAAGCTGCATGGAGACCTCACAGCAGCTCCCAGTGTCTGAAGGGGGCTACAAGGATGCTGGGGAGGGACTCTTCATCAGGGACTGGAGTGATAGGACAAGGGGTGATGGGTTCAAACAAACAGGGGAAGTTCAGGTTGGAGATAAGGCAGAAGCTCTTCCCTGTGAGGGTGCTGAGGCGCTGGCACAGGGTGCACACAGAAGCTGTGGCTGCCCCATCCCTGGCAGTGTTCAAGGCCAGGTTGGACACAGGGGCTTGGAGCAAGCTGCTCTAGTGGAAGGTGTCCCTGCCCGTGGCAGGGGATTGGAACTGGAGGAGCTTTAAGGTCCCTCCCCACCCAAACAAGTCTGGGATTCTATGAAATGAGTGGAGTAGTGCAGTACATAATGATGGTGGTTGGCCTACAAGCAGTGCCACAAAACTATGATTTTACCTTGTCTACACCTCTTGATGGAGGGAACATTTTAAGCTTGAGATACAGAACAAGGCCTTTATCGGTTTAGATCAATCACGTAATAATCGACTCTTCCATTATCCATAACAGTTACCTGGAAGCTGGAAAGGTGCTGCACCTCTTTCTGCAGGGGAGTCAAGCAGAAATGGCCTCGAAAGCCAGCTCGCTGCCCTGCCAGGTTGCCACCACAGATGTTCAGCCCTGAGAAACCAACTGAAATCTTGATGTGATACTTCTGTGCACATCAAAGTGCTGCTTGATGTGGAGAGCAGTCTTGCATACTCACAGTCCCTCAGGTATCCAAGAGAACTGGGACGCCTCTCCTTATAGCAGCTCTAGCCTATTGCAGATTCTCTTTTCCCAACTATTCCTCCAGACCAAAGGCTATGTTAAACACACATGGAGGAAATGGAGTGAAACAATTCCCTACTGCAACACAAAGCTTGTGATCTCCAAACAGGGTTTTTGGGCTAAGACCTATTGCTCTAAGGGTGTGGAAATTCATCATCACCTCTGACTGTGCAACAGCATCACTGACAACATCTAAGCTAGATCTCCAGATTTTAACTACAGCCAAAGGAGAGCTGGTGGTAATTTACTAGAGCTTCAGGTACAGTTTATCTGACCAAATGTAGCCATTTCGTTCAGAATGAGGTGAACCACATAGATGGCATCTCATGGCTCTTTGCTGACCCAGAGGTGGAGTGTCAGGTGACTGACAGATAAAATGATGTTCTAGAAATCATACTTAACACTGTCAGTCTGTGGTATCCACTTTCTGAACTCAGTTTTCCACCAACACTGTTGGGAAGTATGTCCCATCCATAAAAGAGCAACATCAGTTTGGGTAAAGCAAACTTCACTACAAACCCTTCAGACTACAGAGAGCAAGTTTTATTCCACACAGAACCAGAGGGTGAAATGCCACAGCTGAAAATGCACCAGCACAGCGTCACTCACCATTTGTCAATCTAGTCTGGAGCTATAATAAGAGTGTCTTTGTATGGACACAACAGGCCAAATATGAGCTAATCACTAGAGTCTAATCCACAGAAATGTCTCTTCTTCCCAGGGCAGCCTGGTTTTCTCCAAGTCCTTCACCTTCCAGACAGTTACTTTCTTTTCTTCTTTTTGGGGGAGCCAGGCCAGGGAAAGCCCCGTAACTCCAGGCAGGCAGCAGCATTGTGGCAGATGTAGTAAGCATTGAGCATGGCATCTGGGCTGAGGATATCCACTTCCTTCACCACCTTCTGCTCTTTCTTACTGGCGCCTTTACCTTTGCCACGCTTGGGTTTGCTGCGTTTACCTGCCTGCAGAGAGAAAATGAGTACAGAAAGACTCCATTAATCCACATCTTTATTGTCTCACTTCTCAGTAGAGGATCCCTACTCATCCTGGAACAACTGTTCCCATTGCATGGGAGTCCTGACTCACAGTAATAGCTCCGAGCCCCTCACCACAGACTCCTGTACTTTGTGGCGATTTTATACACAGACTCACAAGTATTAATACACTTTCACCAAATCCATATTTGCTCTATAGGCTGTAATAATGTTTAAAAGCATCAGACAGAGCTAATGAGTGTTTCCTTCTGCTTCTCTCTGGCTAAAAAAAAAGCCTTTTGCGCAATGAAAATCATCCATTCTTCCCAATAGCTTTTGTAATTAATGCATTAAGATACAATCCTGATGCAAACTAAGCCTCTGTTCATCCACTACTACATGTCTACTTGTGGCTCTGGATCATAAACCAGAAAATCAGGTCTCCTTTCCACAGCTGTGGCCTTTCCAAGGCTCTGTGACACAGTTGCTCTGTGCTATTAGCAGTACCACAAACAGAAAGAGCAGCTCTGCCACTCTCTATGTAGGAAGGTGTTGCCAAGACTCACCAAAGCCATAAAGCAGGGCAAAAGAATGCTCCTGTTAACTCCAGGTGATTAGTGCTGGTGCCTGAAAGTCCAGCCTCTTGCTTCCAATAGAGATTTGCCAGAGCCCAATTCACTCCCTGGATTGTTCTCTCATCCATCCTGGACACTCCTCACAACAAGCCCAGAGTGTGTGCATGTGGAAGATGCTGCTGCAGGTACAGAGCAACAAAAAGCAGGGCGAGGGACCCACAAAAAGCAGGGCGAGGGACCCAAAGGGATCTCCCATTGCTGCTGTGATGGTGACGGCAATGGCAACATGGAGCCAGGAGGTGGGCAGCATCCCGGGAATGTTGAGGATGGAGCCACAGCCCAGAGAAAAGGCTGAACAGGAGTATTTACACACTGTAAGGGACTGGAAGGATTTGATCTCTGGTCCAATATCAAGAGCACTTTCAGTACACACCAAGTCACTCAATGCATCTGTCCAGCTACTGTTGTTACTTGCCTTGCTTGCACACTGTAATTAAACAGATCCAAGCACTTCATTAGGAAGAATTAGCACAGACACAGCCAGAAAGGCCACAGGTAACTGCCAGCTGGGCATGAACTAGGAGAAAGCCATATAAATGGCATTTTTCACTGTATCAGTTTTAACAAGTCCCTTACAGCTCAGGAGAGTGCAAAAAGAGACAAACATTTGTGCTCTGAGCTGTGAGAACAGTCAGGGTACAACCTTCAGAGTCAGCCAGGACCACAATGTGAAGACACATGTACAGATAAAGAAACAAAGTCAAGATTTCCATATAAAGCACATAGGAGCACTACCCACAGGAGGGAAAACAAAGACAGAAAACAGAGTGTGCGCTGTGGCAGAGGGCAGATTGTTTCCCAGACCTTCAGCCCTGCAGCCTGCAAACCACCTGAACCCAGACACGCACTGGAGAAGGTGACAAGCCTTTTTTGCAGACCTCAATTGGACAGAATGTGTTGAATACTCCATGTGCTGGAATGTGCACACTTCCTAGAGTAGATGCTTATGTCAGATGGTTCAGGCAGTCACCTGAGTCACGTTCCCTGTTCATGTGCTTCCAGCAGGGCCTCTGGTGGATTCTGTGAGCACAGGGAGGCTCCTGCTCACAATTTGGTTGTAGCTCATCTTTCCGAAGAATAAAGGTGCTTACATGTAAGGACAAACTGTCCAAGTCTGCAGTGAGGAGCAGGCACTGCCTTTTGCCTACAGCACCCTCACTGCTCCTGCTGCCCCTCTGCAGCAGGTACCTCCAACCTCCAGACTTGAAAAGCTCTCCAGCGCTGCCAGCAACTCCCTTGTCTTCCCTTTGCCATCTCTCATGGGATGTCGCATCTGTAAGCTGTAACCTGCAGTCAGCTCACACATGGGAGCAACAACCTAAGAGCAGGGGTTCAAGAAACACAGGAAGCCAACAAGCTACAGCATCACAAAGCCTGTCAGAAATAACACCCTGTGGGTGTGCATGCACCTTCAGAGGTGCCAGAGTCAACTTGGTGCTACAGCTCTCTAAGGAATTCCAATTCCATAAGGAATCCCAGTATTCCTTAAGGATTTATCAGGCAGCCAGAGGATGTGTGATGCTGAACAGAGCATGGTTATTTTTCAGTGTATAGAGATGGAAGTCACACATATCAGACTTCTCACCCTGATCTCTTATGAGTTTTAAACTATAGCCCAGTGTGACTTCTGAACACTCTTCAAACGTACTGGGAAAGCCATGTGTGTGCAGCACCTTCATTCCCATACAAGCATTAGGATTTGAGGCTTTATGGGATTTGTGTTACATTTTACAGCCTGTAACCAAGAACAAGAAAAGCTACTCATTCAGTGCGTATTTGCACACAAAAGTGAATCTGGGCAGGTCAGTTTATACCCTGCAGCCCTGGGAAGGAACCTTTCGGATGTTAATTTCCATTTCCTTAAAAAGCAGTATCAATACCCTTCAGAAGAATCAAACCTGCATTACCATGGCTAAGTCTTTACAGAGTGGTGGGACTCCACATCAAGCTCTGAAGATGGACCCTGCAACACATAATCATGCACCAGGTTACATCCTGTACAAAGCACTGGTGTCATTCCTCTTCAACTTGAAAGAGGGGAAATAAAAACTACTTAAAGCTAGTCCTTACAGCAGGAGGAAGGTGAGCCACATCGTATCAGCTGTGAAACCATAGCATCAGGGAATGGCTTGGGTTGAATGGAACTTAACTTAAAGCTCATCCAGTTCCAACCCCTTGCCACGGGCAGGGACACCTTCCACTAGAGCAGCTTGCTCCAAGCCCCTGTGTCCAACCTGGCCTTGAACACTGCCAGGGATGGGGCAGCCACAGCTTCTCTGGGCACCCTGTGCCAGCGCCTCAGCACCCTCACAGGGAAGAGCTTCTGCCTAAGAGCTCATCTCAGTCTCCCCTCTGGCAGGTTAAAGCCATTCCCCTTGTCCTGTCCCTACAGGCCCTTGTCCAAAGCCCCTCTCCAGCTTTCCTGCAGCCCCTTTAGGCACTGGAGCTGCTCTAAGGTCTCCCCTTCAGGAGCCTTCTCTTCTCCAGGCTGACCCAGCCCAGCTCTCCCAGCCTGGCTCCAGAGCAGAGCTGCCTCACCCCTCTTAACTTTCAGATTCCAGAACTCCGGAGCTTTTCAAGGAAACTCTTGAGATTTCCCCTAACAAAACAAGACAGCACAAAATGAACACCCTGAACCTCAACCCGGTGTCAGGACCTGCCAAAGCCCCACGCTCAGGGCTGCTCCAGGCAAACCTCACCCACCGGCCTCATCCCTGCGGGACACCGCGTGTACCACAGGCAGGACCTTCCCTCCCTTCCACAGCGCCCACCGCCGCATCCTCCCCTTTGGGTGGGAAAGCTTCCCCCACGTCCAAATACAACCAATCCCCCCTGCCCCTCTCTCCCCTCAGGGCTGCGGCCATTGCGGCCTCCCCTCCCTCACCTCCCGCCCCGGGTTGCCACGGCAGCCACGGCCGGTTCCCCACGCAGGCGCAGAGGAAGGCGGGAAAGCTGTAGAGGGGCGGAGCCTGCCCCTGACGGACAGCCCCTCTTCCAATCAGCTGCCGGGGTGAGGGAGGGGGCGGTGCTCGCCGTGACTGGCGGGAAAAGCCTTTCCGGGTTAGCGGGGAGCGGAGCGGAAAGGGGGTGCCCGGGGGAGCTGCTTGTGGGAGCTGGGCCAGGGCCCTTTGGAATCACGGAATGGTTTGGGTTGAAGGGACCTTAAAGCTCCTCCAGCTCCAACCCCTGACATGGGCAGGGACACCTTCCACTAGAGCAGCTTGCTCCCAGCCCCTGTGTCCAACCTGGCCTTGCACACTATGCCCCGCAGGGATGGGGCATGGACCACACTGACATTTCAGACCCAGCTTGTGCTTCCTTCGAGAGCCACCCTTCTGTACAACAAGCACCGAAAACACCACGTAGTAGGGTTGGGGTGTTTTCAAGTAACCCGTGTGCAGCGGTTACAGGTCAGCTCTATGGTTAGTGCTGGTGGTAGAGGGGTGGGTGGGAGGAAGCAGCCGAAAGGTTCATCCTATTGCCCTTCGTCTTGTTTTAGACACATACGTTTCACAAGCAATGTATTAATGCTTATAAATACCCCTTTAATGGAAGCAAACTTTGGAGAAGGATAGGGTATGGGTGTCCAATCTGCATCCTTCTGTGTCATAGTGAAGAAGCTCTTCCCTGTGAAGGTGCTGAGGCGCTGGCACAGGGTGCCCAGAGAAGCTGTGGCTGCCCCATCCCTGGCAGTGTTCAAGGCCATTGTACAAGCATCCCCAGAACACCCAACCATCTCCCCCACTCTTCCTGGCAGCCACAGGGACTGTTTCACTACAAACACCGTTTTCCATCTAACAGAGTTACAACCATTAACAAGGATTCAGCCGTCACTTTGGACACTGAAGCGGTGCGGTGGTGAGAACATGTGGACCCTAAAGGAGCTTTCTTAATACTGATGATAGAAGTGTGGATGTAGTTGGCTATGAATGTACTGAAGGGGAACAGAACAACTCTGAAGTGCTGCAAATGTTTGCAGGGACAGTATTTCAGCACGAAAATGTAAGTGTATATAGAGAATAAGTGGGGTCAGTGATTGGGTAAAATGTGTTTTAATGAAGAATGAATGGTCAGAACTCCCATAAATGAGAATGAAAGAAGAGATGGGACCAACACAGAAAATAACAACCTAATAAAACACGGAGAGAAACAAAGGTATCAGTGAAAGAAAGAAGGAAACCATTGAAGGAAAATAATTATCACTGCATATAGAGCAGGTATCAGAAGAAGGCTAAATGGCAGGGATGAGCAACAGGAAAAAGTACCACTTGATGTTGAGAGGAGCTCAGGAATAGAGAAAGCAAAGAGCAAAGGTATTCCTTGGGAAAATACAGGTCTAATTATTATCTTCTACCAGAAGGGAATGGTGAGCGCAGGTTGGATGGAGAAATGAGACCAGGAATATTGGGAATAATACAGTTGGGTCATCACCCGACATTGAAGCTGAGTGTGGGTGTTGGTGGGGAGCAGGGTGCTGCTGAGGAGGGTGTTTTGGAGCAGAGTGGAAACCATCGGATTTATTTGCCTTGAGCAGAAAGGGATTGTGTTTATGGAAACACCATTTTATCTGTCCAAACTCATGTGTCTGAGTGCCTCACCAGCTCAGTGCCGTTACCACCGATACCGTGCAGACCTCTCAATCCAGTGGAATCTCTGCTGCAATCGGGACAACTGACATGCTTTCAGGAACAAGCCATAAGACAGGGTAGGAAACACATCCCAGAGGCTTTCACTTATCATGGATATTTTGGTTTCTGTGGAAAATACCAGCCCTTTCTCTCCTGTGCCTGTTCTCTGCTGCTGTGAGTGGGATCCAGGAGAACGTGCTATATCCAGAGGGGACTGCATTCCGAGCAGTGAGGATCTGAACTTTGCTGGGGCTGATGAGCACATCAGCTCTCTTCTACACAGAGTAAAGTTGAAGGAAAACAAGGGAGAGTTACCCTGTCCGCAGGCCATTGTCAGGGCCATGGGGAGGAGGAATTATAGAGAGGATTTTGCCATTTGAAAGGGCCTTGATCTCTGGTTGTCCAGGGCACGTCTGTGGTTTGAGTCTTGTTTTCAGTGGCCAAGTTTACCACAGCAGCTCCTGGTCTTCCTCTCCCTTGCCTGCCTCTACAAGGCCACAGGCAATGGAATCAGCTGAGATTAAAAT